CACACACACACACACACACACACATACACACACACACACACACACACACACACACACACAAACACATACATACATACACACAGAGAGAGAGAGAGAGAGAGAGAGACATGCTTCTGTGTATATTTACATTTGTATTCTTTCTCTGAAAGACTCGAAAATCTTTTGTCACTTGCTTCGCTATTGTTATGTCGGGTACGAGTGGTGTATGATTATTTTTCCAGTCAGCTGCAAGCACTGGACCTGGAGCCCAACGAACCCACAGTCAAGCGAGGCTGTTGATAAATGAGAATCAAATCAGAGGGAAAACAAGTGCCGTATATAAATATACATAGATTTGCTTTTAGTAATATAAGTTTCAGTTGGCTCAGTAATGTCCGAAACATCGACGTCTGGTCGCTCGCATTCCGAAGATCTTTCTAGGTAGCTATTATCACTTCTACTCGTTGAACTATAATCTCAATTTATAGGTCATACCATATACTCCGCCAGTAACAACTGTCGCCTGCAAGAGATCTTGAAGACTTGTGCCAACATTCAGTCACTGGAATCGCTGTCTCCCTGCGCTCAGCTGGTAAACGACGTAAACGACTCGTACGACACGGCAGAGAATATGGTTACGCCCGATCCGTACTCATTCAATGGATTTATATCGAACAGCACCTGCGGTAGCGAAGATGGCTTCACCGACATCGTTCTCGAGGAGGACAATCGCGTTTCATTGGCTTATGAAAATCTGTGCACCATTCCACGAAGACTGGCCGACAAGTTTGCTGCACATATCAAGTTTCTCGACCTCAGCTACAACAACTTCCGGAACCTAAAGTTTCTTATGTTCTTCGAGGAACTGCACACTCTTATACTGGATCGCAATAGTAACTTAGATGTGAACACCTTCCCCTATATGCTCAACTTGAAAATTTTATGGTTAGTTAGGGAATGTTTTTGCACACAAATATTTATACATATGGATATCGATATTCCAGGATAAATAACTGCGACATTTGCAACCTAACAGACTGGATTCACCGAATAGAGCGACACTGCCCCGCGCTCGAGCAGCTTTCCTGCATGGGCAATCCAGGCATACAAACGGCGTTCAAAAATCAAGGCCCTGGCTCACCCACCACCTATGCTCGCGAATATATACTGCAAGTTCTACCCAATCTCAAATTCGTGGATGGTATTTCGCGTCATTCATTCAGCAGCCGAGATCGCAAAGCAGAGCTCGACAAGCGATATCTTACAGCAGCAATAGAACCCTCGTCTTCGTGTGTCTTCATGAAAGGACAGGGTCACGAGGAGTCGACCAGCGCGTCTGAAAAGCCAAAGAGTACATCACCCACGCTCAGCTTTAAGGAGCTCTTTCGACTCAAGTCTACCAAAAAGGCGAAGAGTCCGGGTGGCTCTTCGTCCAACTGATATGCATACAAATATCCACATATATATATAATACTATACAGACAATATTTTCCAATGACGAGCGATTAGAGAGCTACAAGTAGTTATTGTTTTATATTTTTTATAGGCCAGACAGATATCTTGAATCTATTTACATATATAATATAATTAGTTGATGGAAATTAATACAATCATTGCATATGTAGCTATGCTTAAATTTTCAACCTTAACTAATTCATTTATTAATACAAAGCGTTCCCTACATGAAAGGGCAGATCGGGTTTAGGTAGATTTAGAAATTGATATATTGCTGAGCTGCTTACAAGTAGTCCGATACGAGATTCTCTTTATTTTTGATAATACCTCTCAATTATAGAGCTATCTAAGAAAAAGTTTTGCCTATAAATATTGGCACACTTAACCATAAATTACAGTTATCAAGTTAGAAACTATTTAAGAATAAAACTTACTGTTTTGGATGTATTTGTATCTAATATTTGTAGCTCATGTTTGTCAATTTAATAGTAAGCTTCAATATTTTTTTCTCTGCATTTAATAAACAAATGAATTCGAATTTTGTGTGTCATATATATTCTGCTAGTTTTATTTACGAGCTTACAAGTTTTATAAAGGATCTATCCAGCTGATGGGGAACACCATAAGAAAGTATAAGATGAAACTTTGATTCATATTGAATTTATATTTTTTATGTATATATGTTAGTGGTAGGTGCTTCAAAAAGTATTCGTCACTTTTAAGCATATTTGGAATAATTTACGTTCTGTCGGGTATTGCACCTATGCTAATCCGATCGGCAGAAGCTATCGATTAGTTTGACTTGATCTCCAGATTGCCAAAAGCTGAATCCAATGATGCAATCCACTTGTCATTATTATCGATAGGTGAATGCCTTGCGGTATGCTCCATAGCCTGCTCCAATGCCCATTGTGCCAGTTTTTGAGACTCCTTACGCTTCAAGCTAACTGCTTTAGAGTTTGCCAGATAGCTGCAGCACAAGAACAAACCATAAAGTGCTCGCAAGTTGTGCGGATTGAGCTTAATGGCCTGCGAGTAATACGTGCGCGCTATTTCAATATTTTCAACGCCGCCCTGAATATATAAGATGGTGATGATATGTATAACCAGAGAGAGAGGCGGGAGTCTTTTCAATTACCATGGTGTATCGGATGTCCGCAAGTCGCTGATGTATTAGATGACTGTGGGGATTGTGAAGCAATACCTCCTCCATACAAAAGGCTGCCTTGCCGAACTCACCCTCGGCCAAGTATAAGTTGCAGAGCTCTTGCCATGCTTCCTGATCCGACATGAATCTATGATAATCATAATATTTATATAAGACTCATTCATTTACAAACATATTATAGGTGTTATACTTTTTGAGATATGCATTAAGTTCCTTAATTGCATCCAAACGAAGTCCGCGAGCTTTCATTATAGCTATTTTCCTTTTGCGCGGCGCCGCATTTGTCTCATCCTTTTCAATTATGGCATCTAATACTTCGTTGGCGGCGTCGTACTGCTCAAGTGCTTCCAAGCGCATCGCCTTGAATTTCATCACACGCAAGCTACCTGGGAACTCGGCACTCAGCTGCTTGGTGCAATTGGTGGCAATGTCAAAGCGTGCGGTGTCCAGTGCAGCAACAATCACCTGCTCGAGTATCAAATGTCTTTCGTTGCCTGTTTTGTGGACTTTGTCCTCGAGGACGGCTACCCACAGTTGAACCACATCCTCGCTGTGACGTCCAGACTCCTCACGCCACTTTCTAAACTGATCCCGCACATCTGAAAGTTCAGTTCCACGTAATATTTAATTAAGCTTCGTTATTACATTATATGTAAAATTTAATTTTAGCAAGTGGTCACGCATATTTAATCAATGAAAATAAAGCCTATAAATTATCCACAAGTTCTGGTATTTGAAATATTTACCTGACCAACTCATTTCTTCATAATTTAGCGACATTATTATTTAAAATCTTTTAATTTATTAATTGTCAATTTATTAAAAAAGTCAAGTCAGAAGGTAATCGATAGGTGAAATAAGTTTAAGCGATGATTTTACTGAAGTTTCGATAGAATTTCAATATGTCTTACCGATGAAATTTTTGTCATTTGCGATTTAAATTGAAAATGTTCTTCATACACAAATATTTGTATAATGATTTCGTTGATTAAAAATAAAAATATTAATAATCTATTAGCTTGCTACACAATATTTTAAGTCATTACAATCCATGGCTATATAAAGAACTTTGTTCTATGTACTATAACGCCTGCCATCTACGAATAATGAATAATGAAATTAATGACTATCTTTAATTTTTTTGAAAGTTTGATTAGCCAAACACATCTTAACGTGAGTGAATGCTCAAGTTATTATTGCTATTCTTAATTATGATATATTTTAAAATTCGTTAATGGAATACCATTAACGCAGAATATACATACAGATGTGGGTTGTAGTTTTAAAGACAATGTGGCAATCCTAACAGCGAATTAATATTAGCTCACAATAAAGTCAGCAGTTGATACGTTTGATTTGCTACTTCAAAACCGTCAATGTTATTTTATTATCTAAAGCGAAGGTGTTCATAACTGAACGATAGAATTGAGTATATAAGAGTGCTTCTAACTTTTCGATAAGTGGATTAAATAATACACATCCGAAGAATGCCGCAAGAGGAGCAGGATGCTAAACAAACCTTTTTGGGGTTTGATTTGAGCACGCAGAAGGTAAAGAGTAAACAATAGTTGATTTATAGCTTAAATATTGTTTAATGCCTTGCATGACCTTGACAACTCCACCTCAGTTTTAAGGTGATAACGCTCTTCGGTGATGGGCCAAAGACAAAAAGGTTATTGTGAAAGGTCAAATGCAAAACTTGCCATTAGTTGTTATCAATAAGAAATCATGATGTTCTTATCGCTCAATGTGAGCATTGTTTATATTAAAATGCGTATTTTTAAAGCTATTTGCATATGTATGCCAGCTCATCATTTTGCCTATTTAACGGGTTTGACATGACGCAAGCACTTACAGTTTAATTACCCTTCGGGTTGTCCTCTGCTAAT